GAGGGAGAGAGAGAAACACTGATGTGAAAGGGCAACGTCAACCAGCTGCCTCGCTTGGTGACAGGCTGTGACGGGATTAGGAGGTGCCTGGGTGAGCTGACTCGGGGTGGGGTGGGGGGAATGGGGCTGGAGGAAGGCTAAGAGAACGTCGCCCCAACACGTGCTGCTAAAGAGAACGACACCCCAATTCATGCTGCTAAAGAGAAACCAGAGCAGACAGGAGCCAGCAGCCACATCGCAGACCTGAGCCCAAGGAAACCGTCAGAGGCACCGGGCCGGGGGCGCGAGGCAGAGCCCGCCGGGCGAACACCCACAGAACCTTCCGTGGGACACACGAGAGGGTCACAGGCGGTCACAGTAAAGAGATGGAGGCGCCAGGCCACGAGGCCGCAGGCGCACGGGAGCCAGACCGGCTGCATTCACACCGAATAGACCAGAGATGGGTCAATGCCACCAAAGACACACACACACAGACACACACAGATACAGATACACACACACACAGACAGACGGACACACAGACACTCACACACACACACACACACACACACACAGATGGACACACACACACATACCACACACACACACACACACACACACACACACACACAGTGTCTTCATGCAGTGACCCAGCGGGGTTTGCCCAGGAATGCAAGGATGGTTTGTCGTTGAAAACTGGCTGATGCGACACCCCCCTCAGCAAAGTACGGCACGAACCCACGTCCCCACCTCCACAGACGGACAGAAAACACCGGGCAAAACGCAAACCTCGGTCGTGATTAAACGGAAGAGAGAACTGGGAGCCGTCCGGCAGTGGGAGTTAACACACACCTCCCAGTGGCCCAGCACGTCACCTGCCCACGATGGTCCCAGCAGCCCCCCGCGGGGGGCGGGGTGGTGACAGCAGCCCCCCTGGAAGCTCCCCACGTCTGCCGCCAGCGGCACCTTCCCGGCACGGGGAGACCGAGCGCCGAGGGCACCGAGGACCCAGCTTCGACCACAGGGCGCATCTCAAGCTGCAGTAAAATGTGATTCCTGCTGCATATGCCCCTCACAGACCCTGGCCACTGCAAACCCCATGGCAGAGAGGGGGGGGGGCAGGAAACTCTCGGGGAGCCCAGTTCTGTGTCTGACCGGCTGGGATGCCGGCTGACGGCACTCCCAGCAGCGGCCCCGGCACTGAACGGCACAGTTACGATGTGAACACGTCCATAAACAAGGGAGAGGAAAGGCAGGCGGGCCCAGCGGCTCCGACTCACGTTCTGGAACAGCCAGAGGACCCGCTGCCGGTGGGGGCGGAGCGGGGAGTGTCTCGGGGCCACAGAATCACCTCCCTCTGATGTGCCAACGGGGCCTCCCCCTGAGGCTCACAGCTTCTCTGTTCACTGACCCCAGGAAGTGAGTCAGTCGCCCCCAGCTGATCGGGTCAAGGACTCAGGGCGCCAGGGGCCGAGGGTGAGAGGCGCTGCTGCTCGGAGCTGGGAGGCCCCGCGTCCTGGCAGCAGAGGCCGAGGCCGAGGCCCAGGCACCCAGAGGCCGCCCCGGAGGCTCTCGGGGACGAGCTCCCCTCCCCCCCCATGGCACCTGGGGTGCCCGCGCCCTCAGGCAGCCTCCTGGGTGCTTGGAAGGACAGACACAACAGGACCGGCACCTCTTTCACCCAGGGCGCGGCCAGCAGTTGTTTCAAAAGGGAAGTTACATCCCCCAGAGGCCCAAGGCCAGGCCAGGGCCACGCACACGCCTGCTCCCGGGCCCCGAGGCGGCTGGGCTCTCAGGGGCTGGAGGGACCTCAGCTGTGGGCCCCTCTCCCCGATGCTCCCCAACCTTGGCTGCACGTGGAAGGTCAGGGCAGCGAGGCCTTGTAGGGTGCACAGAGCGGCCGGCCCGGGCGGGGCTCGCACCCGGGAGCACGGGGAGGGAGCCGGGGCATCCTGGCGCAGGCACAGCCCCCGGGGTCCTCGGGAAGGAGCGCCGTGGCCGCCGTGGCTTTTACAGAGGAGGCGGGCCTGTTCTCAGACCTCCTGGGCAGCAGCTGCCTCTGCTTCCAGCATCTGCTGGGGCCGAGCTGGGCGGCCGCCTGCAGAGCAGGCGCAGGGGAACGCTGGGCCGAGGCAGGGGGTCAGGCACAGGCGGGGTCCCTCTGCTCAGGGAACAGGGCAGGGGACCCGGCGGTGCCACCCCACCCACCAGGCCCTGTCGGTTCTCTTCCCCACCTACCTCTCCCCTGGGGCCAGGCGGGCCCCGCCTCACTGCCACCCAACCACGACCCAATGTGGTCCTTGTTCCGGTCCTTCTGCTGCCTGTCTCCCAGTGTGAGGGTGGGGCACCCCATCTCAGTCACCACTGCTCACAGCGTGAGAACAGACCTGCCCAGGGAGCCAGGAGCCCACAGAGCAGACCCTTCCCCGCCCTCGGTGCCCGCCCTCGATGCCCCCCCTCCCGAAACCAGCACGGGCCCAGGCCCCTCTGCCTGGACCTGCAGGCACCCCGCTCTCACGCCCCAGGGCTGGATGGGACAGGACTGACCTGAGCCCCCGGGGCCGGCCCCTAGCTCTGCCTGGCGAGGAGGGGCCTTGTGAGAGGGGCGGGGGCCCCTCAGCCCCTCGGCACCCCCATCAGGGCCCGTCCTTCGCTGGGGCCTGGCCCACAGCATCACCTGCGTCACCGGGCACGGGGCATGCTGGGAACACGTCGGGGCCGCGGCTCCAACGCCATCGGCTCTCCGCATGTTTACTTCTGGTTTCCAAAGCAAGGGGCTGGCCCACGGGCACTGCCGCCTGTTCCCCAGGAGTGCGGGGGCGGGAGTGCCGGGGGGTCACCCGTGTCCCCCTTCTGTGGCGGGTGCTGCTCCGATTCCCCTCCTTCCCATCGGCAGGGGAAGCTGAGCCAGAAGGAGAAGGGGGTCCCAGAGTCCTGAGACCATTCCAGACTCGGCCAGCCTAAAGCGAGCCCAGCTGATCCTTAGGGGGGGCCCAGCTGGGACCTCAGCGGGGCTGAGAGGGGCCTCAGAGGGGCTGAGAGGGGGTCCCTGGACCCGGCCAGGCCAAGGCACGGAAGGAGCTGGGGTAGCGGCCCAGCACCCCAGGGGCAACCACGCGCCCGCTCACCCCCACGGCCCCTCCCCCACTACCCTCTTCCCAGCATGCCCAGCGCCCAACGATGCCAGCGACGTCACTGCCAATAACCTAGATTTTAACCAAGAAATCACACCCCCTCCTGCCCCACTTATGGCTCCGGAGGAGAGGGCCGGGCTGGGCGTCCTGGGCCAGCGTCAGGCTGCACCGGTCCCCTGCCCCCGGGTCCCCAGCTCCCCAACACCCAGGGAGGGGGGTAGGGCGGGGGCTCGGGACTCCCACCTGCCCCCACCCAGGGGCGAGCCTCTGCAGGTGCACAGCTTGGGGTGGCCCAGGCCCTGGCCTCCCGGGACCGGCACCCTGTCTGGGCCCTGGGTGGGGCTATGGAGAGGCTCAGGCACCTCTGGGCCATGAGACAGCTCGGCTCCCCCCCTCCCCGCCCCCCATGGCCACTTCTGTTGGCTCCTTGGAGCCCATGGATACGGGTGGCCACCCCTGACCAGGCTCTTCCAGAGGGGCAGGTGGCCAGCGGCCAGCAATCCCGGCCCGGCGTTTCCCTTCCCCTCGACATGCCACACGGCTGGGGGGTGCTGGGAGGGCGGTCCCCAATGTGCACCATCACGGCCCCAGCAGCAGATCCTGCCCTGACCCCCCCTTACCCTACTCCCCCCCTGGGGCCCCACTCAGCTGCAGCTGAGAACAGGGGCACTCATGGCGCAGGGTCTGCCCTGGGCCGGGGCCTGCCTCCCAGGGAGGGGAAGCTGTGGCGGCTGCCCAGTGTGGGGCTCCCCGTGGCCCCCCCCGGCCTCCCTGGTGGCTGTCCGTACACACAGGCGGTGCCTGGTGGTCCCTGCAGGGCCTGAGGCCCACGTGGCCTCAGGAAGGCCCGGCCACTGCCTGCAGGTTTCCTGGTCAGTACCCATGGGACTCGCACCAATACGACCACATGCGTTAAGAAAAGCAACGGCATCTCGAAACCCCCCACCCGCCTGTGGGAGGGACCCAGCTGGCCAGCCTGGAGACCCGGCCACCAGTTCTCGATGGCTCCCGTGGCCCAGCCGCCCCAGGGCCCAGCTCGGTGCCCTGCCCCCACGATGGAGGGAGGAGCCCCTCGGGGCATGAGGACCGGGGGACGCGGGGAGAGTCCCCACTGCCCAGGGCCCAGTGCTGGGCACTGCTTCCTGCTGGCCCGTGTGTCCGGATCCAGTGCCCTGGACACGGGCCCGCCTGCAAACCAGGACAGGCAGCAGGCCCAGGCACACGGCCAGATTTCGGGGAACACAGGAGGCAGGGGGACACCTGATCTGGGGCCCCAACAACAGGACCCTCAGCCCGACAGACCCTGCGCCCTCTCCAGGGACCGTGACGTGGTCTAAAGAGGGCATCTCGGGTTTGTGGGTCCCAGCGGGGCAGCTACCCCTCCAGCTGGGCCCTGCACGGGGGCGGCCTGCGGGCTGGGGCCGGGAAGCTCTGCCTTCACTGTGGGGCAGACGGGGACTCTGTGGCTGCAACAGGTGAGGGACCAGCTTGGGTCACACACAGTGTCTTGTGAGCCTGCTGGCAGGGCCCTGGTCCACTGGGGCCCTCCGTCTCTTCATCTGTCCGATGGGAGGCAGGGCCTCTGACAGGCTTTGCTAGCTGCCAGCGGGCTCTGCTCCGCTCTGCTCTGCCCTCCTGCGGCCCCTCGTCTCACCGAGGATCAAGTTTAAAGCCCTCGGAGGAGGCCCTGGAGCCCGGCCCAGGACCTGCCCGCTCAGGTCTCGGCTCCTGCTGGCTCTGCCGTCTGGGTTTTGGGGCCCCGTTCCTCCCACCCCTGCACACCTCCAGCACCGTGGCCGCCAGCTGTCCCCGACCACCTGCCTGTGCCCGAGTGGGGCGGGAACTGGGCCGGAGCTGGCCTCGCCGGCGGGCGGGCGCAGGCATTACCTGCGTAGCCGCCGGACGCCTTGATGTACATCTGGCCGTACTGCTCCTCCGCCATCGTGTCGTAGGCCTCGTCCTCCTCCTCGTCATCCTCGTTGTGGTACGAGGTGGGGCTGTCGGTGGTGGGCAGGCTGCTGGCGCCCGGGCTGGTCCGCTCCCCCTGGGGGTAGGGCACCTGCTGGATGCCGGGGATGAGGGTGGCCAGGCCGGGCACCCCGTAGTAGGAGACGCGGGGCAGCTTGAGCGGGGCCGGGCCGGCCGCCACCGCCACTGCGGTGCCCGCCGCGCCGTCCCGGGGCCCGGGCTCCAGCGGGCGCTTGGCCGCCAGGCCCGGGCCGGCGGCGGCCGGGGGCAGCTCCGTGGCTTCGTGCTTCACGCGGGTCAGCAGCGGGATGGGCACGGCGGGGGACACGGCGTAGGGGGGCGCCGGGGCGGCGGGCGGCAGCTGGTGGCAGGGGCTCTGGGGCTCGGAGCCGGCGTCCTCCATGGCGGCGGTCTGCGAGTCGCAGTGGGGCGAGCTCACCTTGAAGAGCAGGTCGGTGCCGCGCTCCACGATGTGCTGGATCTGCAGGAAGCCGGCCGTGTACATGACCACGAGCTGCTCGCTGGCCGCCATGGTCAGCCGGCCCGTGTAGCAGAAGGACAGGATCTGCTGGAAGCAGGCGGGCGGCACCGAGCCCGGCAGCTCGAAGGCGCTCTTGCTGTTGCCGCTGAACAGGTCGCGGAAGTACAGGCTGCTGGCGGCCAGTACCGCCCGGTGGGCCTTGAAGGCCTGGCCCTTGACCACGATGGACACATCGCAGTAGAGGCCCAGCAGGCGCTGCTCGTTCAGGCAGCCCAGCACCGTGTTCCCGAAGTTGGGGATCTCAATGTGCAGCATCTGAGACATGGCGGGCGGCGGGCGGGCGCGGGAGGCCTCCGACTCTCAGCGCGGGAGCGGCCCGAGCGGGCACATCTGTGGGAGAGAGGCGGGGGCGCCAGGTCAGCTTCCTGGCCGCCCAGAGCCCCCCACCCAGCAGGGCCCAGCCCCCCAGCAGCAACCCCCACCCAGCTCCCCGAAATGCACACACCCAGCCCATGGCTCCCGGACCCCCTGCAGCCAGAACGGCCCAAAGGTCTTGGGGGGACCCTGGCTGGGCCCTCGCTCAGAGCTGCACAGAGGCTGGAAGCCCAGAGCCCGCTCTGTCCCCCCCACCCTTGGGGAGAGAGCGAGCCCTGGAGGACACCCCACAGAGCAGAGATGAGGAGGCCTGCACCGCGGAGGGAGCTGGGGAGAGAAGGGGCTATCAGCCCGGCAAGCGGGAGGGGGCGGGAGGGGCCGGGCAGCCGCTCGCACAACTCTTTCCCAGGAAAAAGTTAGCAGCCAAGCAGCCCCTCACCCGCCTTTCCCCAGAGAGGGGCCGGGACCGGGAGCGAGGGGCACAGCCCCCCCCCCCGGCACCCCCCAGGCTCTGGGTCTCTGGTTTGTTTTCCCCGAGGAGCAGCGGCGGCGGCGGCGGCAGCGCAGGGGACGGCTGGGGGCGCCCGGACGAGAGGGGGAGCTGGGAGAACTCCGGGCCGGCTCTGCCCCTCCTGTCCTGCAGAGGAGACTCCGGGGTGGAGGGGCTCCATCCCGAGCTGCCCAGGCCGCCCGGCTGCAGACCGCGGGAGCCTGTCCCGGCCCCACCTGCACCGCCCGGCCCCGGTCCTAACCCGGCCAGTCCTCATGGCTGCGTCCCCAGCCCAGGTGACTGCAGGGTCACGGGGGACTGGCCGCTGGGATGCCGCTGGCTGGGCGCCCCGGGCCGGGGCTGGCGGCGGACCCTGTGGGGTTCGGAGGGGACAGGGGCGGGCGGGCGGGCGGCCGCAGAGGGCGCCCATCAACTCCGCCGCGGAGCCACACAAAGGGCGGCTCTGTCCGGAGGAAAGTGCCGGAGCCGCAGAGGCTGGGCGGCCGCGGGGGCAGCGCGAGGGCGGGGCGCCCGGACCGGACGGAGTTGGGCAGGTGGGCGGCCGCGGTGGGGGGCCCTCCCCCACCCCCGCGGTGCCCCCCGCTGCGGAGAAGTTGCCCGCCAGGCCGGAGGGGGACCTACCTCTGGCCGCCGCCGCCCGGGGCCCCGCACCGCCCGCTCCGCCGGCCGCCCTGCCCGCAGCCGCCAGCTGCTCGGGGAATGCAGCAAACGGCGCGGGAGCCGTGGGGCGGGGAGGGTGCGGAGCCGGGGGGAGGGGCGGGGGGGCAGAGCGCGCGGGCAGCCCGGCTCAGCTGCACCCAGCCCGGCTCTCCCTCCGGGCAGCGCGCAGCATCTAAATGAAGGGGCCGGATGCGGACGGACATCCAGGCAGCGCCAGGATGAATAGCCGCCTTTGACGGGCGAGCCGGGGCCCCTGCCAGCGCCCGGGCCGGCTTTGAAAACAGCGGCATGGCGTGCCAGAGGAATGCGGGCTCCGGGTGTTGGTACAAGACAGACTTTTGATGACTCACTGCAATGCAAACAAAGATGGCAGAAATACTGTACTGTACGCGGGGACGCGGGAGCCGCGGCAACGGGGCGGCCTGGGAATTTATGTGCCGCTTTGCATATGAATCGCCCAGTGCAGGGCGCCCGCCCTGCAGCCGGGGTGTCAAAGCATCTGAACTATTCCAAACAGTCCGCAGCGCCGGCCCGCCCGCCCGCCCGCCGCGGGGGTGAGGGGCAGGAGCCTGGGAGGGAGGGGGCAGAGGGAGGGAAAGGGGGCAGATGAGGATGAGCCTGGAGCCGGAGAGCCAGGAGACCCCAGACTCTATGGGGAGGCAGAGGCGGTGCCCGTTCCCTCCAGTGCCGGGGGCGGGGGGGGGGTGCCCCACTCCCCGTCTCCTTGGGGACCAGAGCAGCAGGCTCAGCAGATCCCGCCCAACACCCCCACCCCACTCGCCGGGGGGAGTCACGTCCCCCAGCCCTCCCTTGGATCAGAATGTAAGCACTGGGCAGCCAGGGGGCCTCGGAGGACCTGCCTGGCCCCCCACGGACCTGCCCCAGCAGACAGGGCAGCAGAGCAGCTTGGGCTGCCCTGTGGGCCATAGTGCCAATCTCCCCTGGGCCCGTCCTGCCCCAGAGCACGGCCCCTCCTCGGCTGGGCTGCCCAGTGGGCCCCGGGGCCAAACAGCCTCCGTGTCCCCACCTGCCAACTGTGGCCGGAGCATGACCACAGCAGCCACAGGAGAAATGAGGTCGCCATGAAGGTGGCCCAGGTCTGGTCCCTGCAGCGACACATCCCTGACCTCACCTGAGGGTCAGCCCTGTGGCCAGAGCAGGGAGGTTGCAGGGAGGAGGATGGACAGGCAGGTCCATCCCGTGCTGCCCCCCCCCAGCCTGCAGTCAGCAGGAGAGGAAGCCATGGGGCCCCCCATCGCCCCCACCCCCATATGAGGAACCCCAGGTGAGAGGAACCAAAGGGGGGGCTCACACAGAGACTGGGATTGGGGTGCTGGCAGGAGTGGCCAGGGTACACCAGCGAGGGGATGGACTTGGACCCCCAACACACTGCGACCGGCAGCTCCACACACGGCGGGCCGGACCCCAGCCTGTCCTTGCCCGAGTTCCGGGGCGTGAGTGTGAGCCCAGAGGGCCCCAGAGACTGGACGGGGAGGGAGGGGTGCACCCCTGGCCGGGGCCCCAGGACTCAGCCGGCCTCTGCTCCTGGAGCTACCCAGCCCTCATACGGAGCCTCCACTGCCTTCAGGGCCTGCCCCACTTTCGCCTCCTCCAGGAAGCTCACCGGGCGCCTCAGAGCGGGGAGCACGGTGGTCCGCCCAGTGCCTTCAGAGCATTTGCTGATGCCGGGCGTGGTCGGGCACAGGAGGGGGCGATGCTGCCAGCTCACAGCCCAGCGTGGAGGGCCCCCCACAGGCCCCCATGCCCTCAGCCCTCACCGTGGGGAGCCCCACCAGAGCACCACGGGGTCACCTGAGCCAGACGGGGGGTGCCTGGCCGGGCGCGTGGAGGCCGGCAGAGGCGTGCCTTGTCCCAAAGGCCTGGGGCTGGGCAGGCCAGGGGCATCCTGAAGGCAGCCTGGGCGACAGCACGAAGCCTGGGCACCTGTCCCTCCAACAGCCGGTCCCAGGTCCCACGGGCACCACCCCCTGTGCCAGGCCCAGGCCCCGCCACACCACGTCCACATCCACATCCACGCCCACGTCCACGTCCCGTGGCCTCGAGAGGACGACAGAGCCCGGGACCTCACGGGCACCAGGTCAGGGCTCTCGGGCAGTCACCGCGGCGTTCAGGGAGGCGACGTCAGTAAAGCCCTCGGCCGGGAGGGCACTCGCTCCGCCAGGTGAGCTGTTACCTGCCGTGACCCGGCGGGAGGGCGGCGGTCCAGGGGGCTCGCAGCCACACCTCCCCCTCCCCCGGCCCTGCGGCTCAGGGGCCGCGCCCGGGCTGGGACCGGGCCGCCGGCCAGAGAAGGGCCATTCTTCCCGGGAAGGTGCGGGCTCGCGGGCCCCTGGGGACCGAGGCCGACTGGCTGCGGCCGCCGTGTCCTCCTGCCACCTGTGCGGGCGAGGCTGGCGCCCGGGGCCGGCCCAGGGGAGCCCGGCAGCTGGTTTTAGGTTGCTTTCTTAGAAGCCTCGGCTGGGGCGGGAACAAAGCTGAACTTTAGGAGAAAAGAATGAAATAAAGGCTTGGTTTACCCTGTGCGGCAGCCAGCGGGGGGTGGGGGGGCCGGGCCAGAGCAGCCACCTGCCAGGAGGGGGCCACCCCTCACCTTCCCTGCCAGTGGGCCTGCCTGGCACCTCGTCCCTCTGTCCACCTGCCCCCCCGACTGCTTTCCCAGCGACGCTCATTAGTCTCCCTCCACAGGAGCGCCCCCTCCACCCCCACTCCCCACTGTTTGCTTCCAGGAGGTCAGGAGGAGCTAGGCAGAGATCCCTCAGTTCCTGTGCCCATCCTCAAAGCGACTGCACCAGGAACCCTCCCCCCCAGAACGCCCTTCAGAATGGAACCCCCTTTTGGCACCCCCCCCCCCCCCCCGCTGACACCACGAAGCCAGAGTCCAGCCTGGGGGCACCCCACGTAGACCCAGGACCTCCGCCGGGATGAGAAGACGGTGACCAGCGGTCTCTTCTCTGGACCCTCCCTCTGGACACGGGGTCCCAGGCCCTGAGGTGTCGGCCCCCCAGGCAGTGTAGCCCCTGCAAGAAGGGGCAGGCACAGGCTCCGAGAGTGTAGGCACCCGTGTGCGCCAACACACACACTCCCATACATGCACACACCCTCGTGCACACGTTTGTGTGCACATGCACTCGTATAGGTACACGTGTACATACTCATGCACACACACATGCGTGCACTCACGGGCCCAGGGACCAGCTGGGCTGAGTCCCACAGAAGCCCAGAGGCCCAGACCCTGCCCCCCCGACCCCCCCAGAGTCTAACCGCCCCGCAGCGAGGGCACAGCCAGGCGCAGGTACATGGGTTTGATTTCTGTGGGATCACCACCACAGGAACGGGAGGCGAGATAAATTAAATTAAATAAAATGATTTTGCAGGATTTAATTTTGCCAATCTAAAGAGGTCTGGACCTCAGCTAACGCTCAGTCATCAAACACACCCACAGAAGGGGGAGGGGCGGGCCGGAGAGAACGGAGCCCCGGCCCCCAGCCCCCTGCCCCGGCTGGGCCCGTCCCCTCCCTGGCAGCCCCCGGCCCCCAGGCCCCCAGCCTCCCGTCTCAGCAGAAGCTGCTGGTGGCAGGGATACCCCCCCGAAGAGTTTGGGGGGAGGACCCGTAGCCACACTCCCAGGATGGTGTCTGGCAGGGAGGCAGCAGGTTCCTCTGTGAGTCAGCATGCACACACACGGGAGCACACGCCTCAGGAACAGGCCCGGCTGCTGTGTGCACACACAGAGCACACGCCTCAGGAACATGCCCCA